CTGCGCCCGCTCGCCTTCGCCCTGCGCCTCCGCCGAGGGCGAGGGGGTGACCCTGCAGCGCTCCATCACGCTGCTCAACGGCGTGGCCATCATCGTGGGCACCATCATCGGTTCCGGCATCTTCGTCACCCCCACCGGCGTGCTGCGGGAGGCCGGCTCGCCGGGGCTGTCGCTGGTGGTGTGGGCCGTCTGCGGGGCCTTCTCCATTGTGGGGGCCCTCTGCTACGCTGAGTTGGGCACCACCATCACCAAGTCCGGTGGGGACTACGCCTACATGCTGGAGGTGTACGGCTCCCTGCCCGCCTTCCTCAAGCTCTGGATAGAGCTCCTCATCATCCGGCCCTCCTCGCAGTACATCGTGGCTCTGGTCTTTGCCACCTACCTGCTCAAGCCCATCTTCCCCACCTGCCTGGTGCCCAACGAGGCTGCCAAGCTGGTGGCCTGTCTCTGCGTCCGTAAGTACCCCCAGCCCCTCTCCATGTGCCCGCTGGCCTGCTACCCCACGTGGCTCCCCGCTCGCCATCGCCTTCCTCAAAAAGTCAGCCCAAACAGCTATCGAGCCCATGGCTTTGTAGGAGATGCACCATCTCCCCTGTGCTGAGCTGGCTCCGTGCTGGGTTTTTCGGGGCTGTTTTGAACAGCATAAGTAGGAAACGTGGCCCCATCCCAAATAAATTGAGCAAAAATATTCCCCAACTACCAGTTATGGGCTAGCGAGCGTCTCTGATTTCCGGCAAGCGATAAATGCAACGTGCATTTTGCCCGTGCGCTGGCGTGGGATTTCTCCTGCCCTCCTGCAAGGAGTGGGTTCGGGCAGGGTAAAATCCCCTTGCAACCCTGCAGTGCTGAAGTGCTGCAGGGGCTGGGATGGGCAGGGTTTATGTGCAGAGATAGGTTAGGCGAGCGTGCAGTTGGGAAATTATCTGTCGCGAGCAACCGGTGCTGAACGTGGCCTGTTCTGCAGTGCCTGGCTGTTTTCTGCATCGGTTTGGAGATGAGACCTTTCTCGGCTGTATGTGCACTGATAGCCACGCGCGAAACCTGTTTGGGGTTTTTTTTGCAAGCTACCATTGCATTTCATGAGACGTTGCCTTGCAGAGGAGTTCAGTCGTGCTGTGATGAATTTTGGGCCGCTGATGTCTGCCATGGCACGCAAATCTTTTCTCTCCTGCTGCAGTTCTTATCGTCTCTCTGGCGTTTTGAGGGCTGTGGTTTTGCCAGTGAAGCCCCGTTTTCCTTTCCTCCCGTGACTGCAAAGTCACCCCATCCAAATTCCTCATTCTTTACATACAGGACCATTTTCTGCCTTTCTCTCCTCGTTTCCTATTCAGTCTGTGTTCCACTCCACTGGTAGTTCTTGTGCCATCGTGAAGGTGTATATTGGGAGAGGATATAATTCTTTGTGAGGGCTTTATATTTATTTGCTGTACAAAGTTACGGTCAGGCGATCCTTTTATTTTTTCATTTTGAGGTTGTGAAGCACAGTCTGCTTGTTTGTGCTGTCCGAAGGGAGGTCGTGTTAGATTCCTTCACCCTTTGAGGATCGCAGGCATTCAAAAGTTGCAACACATGGTCGTTACGGGAAGATATATAGTCTGTAAATGTCTTCATACACAAACTGACTGAGCCTTTGGTAGGTGTATGGTTAGCTAGTAGATATGATACGATAATTACCAGGCAGGGCAGCAAATTGTACTTTCTATGGGCAAGATTGAAACTTATTCATTCCCTAGGTACATTTTTAGGAACATAAGGGCAAGTAGACAGGCGTGGGGACTTCCCATTCGAGTTCTTAACAAGTGAAGTACATATATTAAGGAAATACAGATATATATTTAGACTATAGATACAGAGATATAGAGACTGAGAAGACTGTAGCAGGGTTAGAAAATAGTTCTGCTGATGGGTTTCTTGGCTCAAGTAGGGCCTTCTGAAAAATCTGGTTTTAGAGCTTTCCTGCCAGTCTGCAGCATGGTTCCTGCAGTGGCACAGAGGAAAGGGCCGTGCGTGTGCTTAACCTTCACGTTTTTTGCTGAGAAGCTAACAGAATAAGAGCGTTGATTCCATGGGCTTCCTTACTGTTTCATGTCAGAGTTTTGCTGTGCAAGAACACGTTGTAGTTGACAAAGCCTTCGAGAACATGTTTCTAGTAGTAAGTAACTTAATAAGTAACTTTTCCTCTGCAGGATCTTTCCCAAAATCGGTGGGATGAGGGGTCCCTGTTCCCATCTTACTGATCAGAAAACAAATACAGGGGTAAAGTAGACTGGCCCATGGCAAGATCTGCTCAGTGAGAGGGTGGACTGCAGCATGAAAATTCTTGATGCCAGGTCTCATTCCCACTTAGTGCTTCTCCAATAAGTAATAGAAGTGTCTCCATCTTTCTTTTGCCAGCAATTAGTAGTTTTCCCGAAGCAGAATTTGTTCTGGAACCTTTATCTTGAAGTGCCAAGGAAAGAATTGCTAGTTCTGCAGATCTGCGTCATTTCCATCTGTTTCTTCTTTAAACTTTACTCCCCCCCCCACCTCTGGCTACTATTTTGTTTATGCTTTGGGTTAAATTCTTGTTTGTCTCCTTTGCTACAAAAGGTTAGTTCATCATGCGTTGCCTTCGGCAAGTTAGTTTTCTGCAACTTTGATTTTTGGAGTTAGCTTTTTCTACTGTCTGGTGCCAAAACCACATCATGAACTAGGAACAATAAATGGAGTAAATCTGGTCCAAGGACTTAGCAAGTCACACAAAACTTCTGTGGACTAACAAGCGGCTTTGTTACGTGGTTGTTCCAAAAATACCCCTACCCAGCGAGATATTATTTTTTTCCAAGAGCCTTAGGGTAGGAAAAATGGCCTATTTGTGCGTACACTCTAGAGCATACGTTAACGAGTTATCTCAAAGAGGGGAAGAACAGTTTAGGAAGCAAATCTGGGGCCCCGGGCTGGAATACTTATTGTACTTAGGTAGCCAAAACCCAGCCCTCTAGAATAGTACCAGCTGTCTTCTTTGCAAAGTTTGTATCTCAACATAACATGCACTTGACTGCATGGTTTCTAGTAAGAGGAGAAATAACAAAAGTTAATTGTTTCCACTTTGAGTGCTACTGGTGTTGAACAGTTGAATAAATAATGTGGTGTTCGGGATTTGCCACCGTGAAGTACAGGAATTGAATTTCTAGGCGTTAAGATAATCTTAAGTAAATCACAGTCCTGAAAGAAAGAAAAAAATAGTTGGAATAGGGAATTTTGTTCCCCTTAAGGTGCTGAGGAAAACAAGGTGGGTGGTAGGTAGAATTTAACTACAAATAGGTATTTTCTGGTATCGAGATTGTAATCTGCAGCCAGTTGATACACAAGACTGCTTCTTCCATAAGACAACACGAATGCTTATTGTGGTTGCCAAAGAAAAGTGTGGGAATTCACTACAGGGAAGGCTTCCCGTAGCGAGGTGGGTCAAGCTGTTCATCATTAGTGTGGCTTATTTGATGTTGACCACGAAACAGCCAGAGCTGCCTAGCTGCAAGAATTTGCAGGGAGTTTGGCTTAATGCTTTTCAGGCTGCGGGTTACTCGGGTAAATCATAAACTGCATGTTGTTTTGTCTGTAAGATTGGATGGCTGGTAATTTTAGGACTGATAAATCATAAAAGCAAATGCTGAGGGATGAAAAACATAAGGTCCACCTGGTATCCAAGCATTTTTTGAACAGAAAAAGTTCGTGAAGCTGAGAATTTGTGCAGATGCGTGAAAACCCAACAGTTTGGGTATCTTACCTAAGCCAATTTAACCCCTTCAGAGGGTTGCAGGACAGTTACTAGGTCCTGACTTTTCGTATTTGATGACGTCTGCGTTACAGTATTAGTGCTGTACATGGTAAAGAATTAAACTACTGAGGATTCTGTGCTGTGTTCAGGTGCACGATTGTGGCTATGTAGATAAATGAAAATGCGTTATTTTTGTCATTGGTTCCTCTTTTTTTTTTTTTTCTCTTGAGAAAGCATCGCAGTGGAACGTACATTTGCACTTCCAACATGTATCTTCAATTGTGTCGTCTTCTGCAATTTTCTCCGATTTATTTTCACTTTGAATTAAAAAAAGGACACACTTTTTACCAGAATATTTAGGTAGCAAGTGTACCTTTCAAGTTGAAAGAACTTGTTGTTTATATATGTTGCAGGACCGTGTTCACGTAGCAGGAGGAGGATGGTGTAAAACTGTTTAATCCTGTCTTTTTTTCCCAGTAGAGAGGTGGTGTCCAGGGAATGGCCTGAACGGTCATGTGGAACAGCATCCAATTGAAAGTGCATCTCTGATATCTTACAGTCAGGCAGGTCAAAGTCACTTTTACAGCTGGCTGCCACTTGTGTTACCTTTCCTAAATTTGAACTGATAAATCTTAACCAAAAAAAATCATTAAAAAATTCCCAGAGCGCAACCCAATACACAGTGTCTGTTCCAGAGAGGGCTCAAGGGTGGAAAGTTTCAAGTTATCCAGGTAAAGACAACATGCCTGTTTCTTATTTCCATCTCTTCATTTGCAGATTTCCTACATGTGAGAGGTCTTTGGTACAGTAAATGCCCTGTAGATAAGGGATAATGCTGCTTCCAGGCCTGAACTGGTTCTTCTTCGGTGTTTCACAAGTGGCTGAACTGTTCTTCCTACCCCTGTTCTTAGGCACAGCCTGTCGCTCCCCCCCATGTGCTACATAACAGGTTATTCTATCATTTACTTATTCCTTGACAATATAATCTGCTCCCCAGAAGCTTGAGAAACCCTGCCAGTTGCACATAATGTCACTCTTGATCTTCAGTGTCGAACCAGTGATTTGATCGCTGGCTTCTGAAGCCTTTTACCGCTTGTAAATTATATATGCTAATCTGTCACTAATAACCCCAATATTGCTGCAGCAGTATCTGCTACTTCCAAAGCTACAGTATTTTAATCTTCTTAAAAATTTCCTTGGACTTCCTTTGCTGCTTCTGAAACATTATTTTTGGCGCTCCTCCTGCAAGCGTGGAATTCCAGTAAAGTGATCGCATATTTCTCATTTGTCTCTCTTTGTTATGATCAGCCTAAGAGCTGAAGAATTAGCAACAGTGCAGAGTTGAGTCATATCTAACAGCACGTCACATGGAAGCGTAAGTGCCTGACGCCCCCCTCGCTACGTTGTGAGTTAGAGGAGGAGGAGGAGAATGGTATCGAATCCAGGGTTTGCAGAAGCCTAAACCCCTGCTTTCAATGCTTGCCAAATTGTAGCCGTCATCCATAAGTGAATGTTCAGTGTCAGCATTTCAATTAGAAATCATGTCTGTTGAAAGCAGGAACGTCTTGATTTAGTATTAAGGTTTTTACTTTAAATCTTGACAGTTTGGCTGTTTGACCAGCTTTTTAAAGTGAAGCTATGGGTAGATTTTGAACTCATCAGGTATTGGATGGCAAGCATAAAATACATCTTATGCTT